CTCTCTCTCTCTCTCTCTCTCTCTCTCTCTCTCTCTCTCTCTCTCCCCCCAAGGAGCTAAGTAGGAGCTTACTACTGCCCTTGAAGGGAGCCACCTTGTGAAGCTCGAGGAGGCCCATGAGTGAAGGTTTGAAGACACCGTGAGAAGCCAAGTAAGTGGGTTTAGTGTTGGTGCATTACTTAATTGATAGGGATCAAATTTGGGTAGATATGATAGGTAAAATAATAGAATGAAGTGTATGAATGTAAATGAATTAAAATGAAGTTGAATGAGTATTGTGAATGAACTTGATAAACCTTTGGAGTAGTTTCCTTGCAAAATTTGCTTAACATGAACAAGGTTTTGCATTGAAGTTTACATTGGCTTGTGAAATGGTGTGTTATATTTGAAAGCATGCTACAATTTGAAAGGGGAAATTTCTAGGTACTACAAGGGCTTTTATATTGAAAATTTCAGTAACCAAATGGTATCCAAATGGGCTCAAATCATTCTTGAATTAAAGATATGTGTGTCTATTCTAAGTTTTATTTTTACACCATTTAAAATTTTGTATGGATCAAAATGTATGCCCTAAACTGCCGGGGTATATCGCTGTCTACAGTCACTGAAATTTCCAGTGACTGTCACCTATATTTTGCCGAGCCTTTGACCAATCAAACGACGCCCAAACACCTTCAACCTGCCACCATTTGAAAGATCTATGAATGTTATTAAAATTGCATGTTTGAAGTATTTTGAAATTCCCCATAGTTTGAGAGTTATGTCTCGAAATATGGGGGCACATCACTGTCCATAGATGCAGGAAATTTCCAGCAACCACCACTCACTTTGTTCTGAGCTTTTGACTTATCAAACGTCATCCAAATTCCTGCAAATCACCGTCATTTTAAAGATCCGCGTGTAAACTTAAAGTTTTCATGTTTGAGGCATTTCAAAATTCTCCCTAGATTGGGAGTTACGCCCCCAAGAAGAGGGGTACGTCACTGTTGCATGTCACAGAAATTTGTGTTATGCTCGCCTTGTGTTACCCTTTTCTGAATTACTCACTAAGAAATTCAAGTAGCAATGTATCATCTTTGATAAGTGATAAGTGTGAGTGATATGTGATAATTTTCATGTGATGAATATTGAATGCCATAGTGTTATGTGGACAGTGTTATGCAACTATGCATTATGTGAAAAATTGATAAATGCCCTGCTAATGTGATACTTCCATGACGAGTATTGTATGATAAGTACCTTAATGTTAATATTGATTGCTAAGCGTAAATGTCGTGTGATAACTCACTTTGAATGGATGCTTTATGCTAAATGTCATAATGTTATGTGACTGCTGGATAGTTTTGAGTAAGACTCAACTCTTGCATAAAGAAAATATGAATTATCTGTCATAAGGCTATGATTTAGCATGAATGAATTAAATGCTTGAGCATGACAAGATGTTGTAATACTGACCACTACGCAATGGAGCACCCATTGGTAGTGGATATTGTTTCTGTTATGATACTGTGATACTGACCACTACATGATGGGGCACTCATCGGTAGTGGATGCTATTTTACTAATACGGACCGCTACGTGATGGGGCGCCCATCAGTAGTGGGTAATATTATACTGAGAAAAGTGATGACGACCATGTCCCTTAAGTTGCTGAATGATAGGATGGAGTTAGGGGAAAGTGAAATGGGAGGGTCACACCCCCTGAAATTACTGAGATGAGACTAATGACTGATGCCTTGCAAGGCAAGTGACTATCGAAACCTTTAATACGCGCTGGGGACCGTGTGTGTGAGCATGAGGGCATTACGAAGTGGATTTCCCCACTTGTCATTGCCCTCCTTCCTAAGAGATGGTAGAGGACCTAAGTAATGGGATTGGGTTAGCCTGATGGATAGAGCCCCTATTTCGTGAATAGAGCCCCTACTTCGGGAGTAGATAATCTAAGGAGTGAGTGGGTAACATTTGAATAGTGAATATGAATGTCGATGATTGCAATGATTGAATGATAACTATCATGTGGATATAATGCCTGTAATTGATGCGCTGACCTAATTACTGATTTACATGACTGCTGCATTGTGACTTCTTATAGTTGAATGAACTGCGTATGATGCATGAATAGACTCAATAATAATGCATAGCACCTAGGTCCACTTATTGGGCTTTATAGCTCATCCCAGTGTTTTTCCCCTCCTTGTTAACTGATAGTGGCAGATCAAAAGTCAAAAGTGCGGGTTTGCAGCTAGGGGCCAAAGCCATATTCGGTTAAGAAGAAGTTCAGATCTTGTATGTGGTTGGGCAGTTAGCCCTGAATCTTGTTTATTTTGGGAAATATGTACTATTGGGCCCTGGTGCCCCAGACTCAATTGTAATATTTTGGAAGTAATGTTATGTAGTGCCTTTTATTGATGTATGGATTTTCCCAAGTTTCTAATTATTCATCTGTACTTGGAATTTTCAATTGAGTTATTTTCATGGTTTGCTTTGATCATCAAGATAAAAGCGTTGAGTCCACTCCGACCTGAGTGACAAACACTACCATTAGGATCACACCTCCATCGCGTACGGTAAAGGGATCGGGGGTGAGTTTGTGACAGTAATACAAATTCGACTTCTTACGGTAATAAAAATGTTGTATAATATGGTTAGATTTTACGGTACTTAAAGTACCGTAATAGTACTTCAATTTATTACAGTATTTGAAATGCCACATAAAATACAAAATATATTACGGTAATATGACTAATGAAATGTTATTTTGATAGATAAAAAAAAAAAGTGAAAATAAGGATAAAGAGTGTAGACAAAGTTTACGAAAGTTGAGGTTTTTTTTTTTTTTTAATTAACCTAAAATTAAAGTATATATCTAATAATTTCCCTTTTTTATTCTCTCTCTGCAATTTTTCCTTTAGTGCTTCCTTCCACTAAGAAGGGCATCTCAAAAGTAAAATTTCCCATTGGTAGTGAGAGATAGGTAGAGAGAGAATATGCAGAGGACCCTCAAGGGAGAAAACCAAAAATTTAAAATTTTCAATTTTTCAAAAATCGAAATTGGCTTGATTTTCGTTTTTGAAAAATTGAAAATGGGTCATTTCAATTTTTTTTTTTTTAAAATTATTATGAAATCCAAAAAAAACGTATATATGAGTAATAATGAAAAGTATTCAGTATTTTGGTAATAACAAAAACTAGAACAAATATTTACCTAATTTTTCTTATTAGAAAACTCAAATTTTAAATTTATTTTTGAAGCTAATCATCAATTAACTCATCATTCCCAAATTTTCGTATTGAAAGAAATCCTTCCAAATATTTCTATGCTATGAGGGAACACAGTATACGTGCTCCATAGTCCAGACTTTTTCCTCGTGGTGTACGCTAGCGAAAATACCACGCGAGGAGTCTCGATGAGAGAGAAAGAGAGAGGGGGACAGGGGGACAGGGAGGGAAGTTTGAAGCTCGAACGAATGAGATTACATAAGAGGTGGAGACTGTAGAGAGTTCAGAGTGGTGGAGAGAGACAGAGAGCAGATGGCTGCGAAGGAAGATGGATCATCGACGTGGGAGGCAGAGGTGGAGGAGGAGGAAGAGGAGGAGGAGGAGTTCAAGATTTGGAAGAAGAACAGCCCCCTCCTTTACGACATGGTCCTCTCCCATGCCCTCGACTGGCCCTCCCTAACCGTGCAATGGCTTCCTCCCAATGACCATGACGACGATGCCGTCTTCCCCCTAATCCTCGGCACCCACACCTCCTGCGGCGAGCCCAACTCCCTCATCATCGCCCAAGCTCACCTCCCTCCAAAACAAACCTCAACCTCCCTCTCCATACCCAAGGTACATTTTACTTGCTTATTTTCCTTATTGGATTTCATATCCATTCTTTGATTAACCCTTACCTTCCGCTCTATTAGAAGTTTGTGATGTTTTATGATTATCCTTTGCAAAAATCATCCCCCTAGAACTTCCTTCGATCTCATGTTTTTTGTTATGTTTTTTCTATTCCCCGAACTAAGTGAATAGCTTTGGATGAATTTTGAGCCTCGGCGGTTGGATTGGAACAGGCTCATTTAGTGGTATGGTCCATCCTTGAAATAAATAGTTGGCTTGTATGAGACCCTCTCTGAACATATTGATCCATGGTGTTTGAGCAGGACTCAAACATGTTTATCTTAGATGATAATGTGTGAATTTGTAGCATCTGTGCTTGAATGTTACTTAAAAAACTTTGAGATAGAAATGAAAACAATATGCATAAATAGTATAACGATAACTAAGAGGCTACATTGATAATGTATGTATATGCTCTGCAAGTCATGATATCAATACAAAAGAAGGTATAATTTATGTTTTAAAAAGAAACATAGTCATGATATTAATACAAAATGAAGTAGTTTATATGTGAAAAAGAAAGACAGTTATTATCTACATCATCGTATAGGAAAATGTTTTGGTGCCGCGTTGTTTACACCAAAGGTGCCCCTCAGTTGCCATGTTTTTTGGATGTTGGGGGACCCATAGAACAATTGGGAGTCATTCTCTTAATTCTTCAAGATCAATTTCCTTAGAAAAGGGGTTTGGAACCCTTAACACTGCTTGATCTCTGCTGAAGTCTCAAAATCTGATTAAAACCACCCATTTGTATGGACAGTTGATTGGTATGATGTGGAACATCTTATGAGGTTGAAATCCTTTTTATTTTGCATTTTATTTTGTGATGGAGATTGTTTGCAGATGTTTACAACCACTTTTGGTTCCTCAAATAATGAAATAAAATGATTTTAATGCATGGCTGCACTGATCTTGGCGTGGCCATGGGTACCCCAAAAACGGACCCTTATGCAAAATAAGAGTTAGAGTGCATATATAAACACACACATATATGCACATACGTGTGTGCGTGCGACCGTGCATGCGTCTGTGTGCACACAGCGCATGCTCCCTCGTTCCTGCACGTGTGCGTGAAATTGCCTATAAATCTGAGATTCCCTTCTTAGGCAAGCGGTCGATGGAAATAGTTCGGGACAAGCGGGCTTTCTTGTATCTGATTCCTGCTTTTATAAACAGGTCTTGGATTGTTTGTGTGTTGAAATCTACCAAGTGACAAAGAGACAGATTGGTGGAAACAATACTATTTGGATGATGTGTCAATGAACTGGATGGAGGCCTCAATCTTTCTAGTGTGGACTAGCCGAGAATATTTGGAGCATAACTGAGGGTGATTTTGGTATACATGGTTGGATGGGCAAAGGTTTGGTGAAGTCTGATTTGGTGAGTGAGCAAGCAAGGAACCATATTGCAGGAAAGAGGAGCATGTAAGGGGACATGTGTTTTCCTGATGATGGTACAAGGCAAAATTTAAATACATTAGATTAAGGTGTATTTGTAAATGGCATATCCATAAATGAGATACATCTTAAGCCTAGTATGATGCAAATCTTTGTTTCTATTCCTATCTTGTCAAATTGAATACCATGCAAACCCTTACAAATATAATGAATAGTCTGTATAGGACCACAAGAGGTGGTCCTTGCATCCTTAAAGACAGAGCTTTGGTTCCCCCTTGCATACAAGACATATGTCTCCCTCTAGAGGAGGCTGGAGTCTATATCTTAGAGGGTAATTCTAGCTTATATGATTTTACTTGCAACCAAATATAGCTCGTATTTGTTATTCGGTTTCTTACCACAATGAAATTTACCCAGCTTTGCTTACTTGATTACATGGCATTCACCATTGCAGGCATTTTTTCAGAATCTTTCTTGAGGCCATTTGCATCTTTGAATCCGATGCGCTGACAAAGTAGCTTGGGGATAAAAAAATGGTTCAAAAATTGGAATATTTTGAATATGTCATGGTCGTTTGCTCATATGACCATGCAATAAATCACAAAAAAATTAGGTTCTCGTATGTGACTAATCATAGACAAAGTGGTTCAGCATATGCTTCTTCTCATTATTTCTTTATTGGCTGAGTATTGTTTTGTTTTTTGAGAATGGTTGGCTGATTGTCTTTTTGTTATATGAATTCTTAAAGATACAAAAGTTTGTGCTTTGGTTGCAGGTTTTGATAGAAAAAGAAATATGTCATGATGGTGAAGTTAATCGGGCTCGGTATATGCCCCAAAATTCTCGCATTATTGCCACCAAAACAATTCATTCTGATGTTTTTGTCTTTGACTATGGCAAGCATCCTTCTAGAACTCCTCCTGGGGGTTCATGCAGTCCTGATTTACGATTGAGAGGTCATACCATGGAAGGATATGGGTTGTCTTGGAACCCTCATAAGGAGGGTTACCTGTTGAGTGGTTCTGATGATTCCCTTATTTGCTTGTGGGATATCTCTACTATGCCACAGCAGCAGGTGCTTGAGGCGAAAGAAGTGTACGATGTAAGTATCATGTTTTCCAGAAGTATCGTGGATTATAACCAACTGTTTGTGAATGGTATATGATCTTAACTCTTTCAATTGCTAATGGCTAGAGTTTGCACCGATGCTGTATCACCTTGGTTGTTTAAAAAATATTGTTGATATTTTGAAAAAATTGGGAAACACCATTAAAATAACCTCATTGTTTTGATATTTTGAAGATATTTTTGTAAAAATTTGGATTTTTTTAAATGTACTACTTATATATATTTGTTTATATTGAAAACTTTGTTATTTCTTTGTTAGTATAAAATAAAACCAAAGACTTTTCCGGAATTTGCTGAAGTCGTGAAGCACTTCTGTTCCCCATGCAAAAGGAAGCAGTCTGTATATATATCTAGACATGCAGCATTATGAAGAAAATGTTATTTCAGGTTCATGAGGGCGTGGTTGGAGATCTTTCTTGGCACTTAAAGCATGAATATCTATTTGGATCTGTAGGAGAAGATTGTCGGTTAAACATCTGGGACTTGCGCTCTTCTCTACCCAAAAAGCCTCTGCAGTCCATTCTTGCACATCAGGCTGAGGTGAGGAGATCTACGGTTAGGCTATGACAACTATTATTTGTTCATCCATATAGCTAGTACTTTTGTGGGATAATCTATTATTTATGTAGAGCAAAAATATGGTTATGCCTGCTAACCTTGTTTTTCCATGTGGAAATGTTTTGGTTTTTATTTAGAGTGGGAAAGAGTTAGCATTTGACATACATATGATCCCACCAAATATCTGATCTTGTTGAAAAGCTCAATGACCAATCTAAATGGTAGAGATGGAAAGAAACAAGGACTGTGACTGTGGACTGAATGACACAGATATCATCATCTTTTGATGATTTTGTGTTTATTGGGTTCGAACTAATTATGTAGTTATGTAATTGTATGAGATGAGTTTATTTGTTTGCTAGCAGTTCTTCTTATAATAAATGACATATATAATAATAAACTATTGCCGTGCTGGAATTAGATTTTT